TGGCGCTATGCGCCGGGCTCCCGCCGCTGCTGCGCGCGTGGCGCGTGCCGCCCGCGCCGCCGGTGTCAGGCCCAGGGCTCGGCCCGCACCCCGCGTCCGGCCCACTGCTGCCGCCGCGCTTCTACCCACGATACGTGCTGCCTCTCGCCTTCGGCAAGTACTTCGCGTCGGTGTCGGCGCACGTCAGCATCTGGAAGGTGCCGGTGTCCTACGCGCACACGGGTAAGGTGTGGCCCCGGCCGGGCCCTGCGGCTTTGAGGTACGAGGAGGAGCTCCTAGCGGTAGCCCTGGTGGGTCTTTGGCCCTACCGGATGGCCAAGGCGCACTAGGCTCTCAGGGTGGAACAGGAATGACGAGTTGGAGGGGTGCTGAACAGGGCGGACCCCAACTATTGGGGTTGGGAGAGGAGCAGCGGCATGGGGTGGCACAGACTACCGGACAGCCCCCTCAGTGCCCTTCCTCTCTTTGCAGTCAAGGCCACCATGCCTATCTGGGTGGTCCTTCTGTCTCGGATCATCATGAAGGAGAAACAGAGCACTAAGGTAATCCTGGCTGGAGCCTTGGGCCAAACGAGATTCCCAGTAGCTGTCCAGACTGGTGACGTGTCGGCTTCTGGCATGCTTCCTGTCAAATAAGGAAGTCAAGGTGTCGGTCTCCAGTGGCTTTACTGTCCCATGTCCTGGAATCATCTTTCAGGCAACGTGTGTGTGAGTGTGTCTGTGTGTCTTGGGGGCGGGGGAGAGAAAGCAGGAAGGCCCTTGGTGAACTGTTGTGTGTAGTCTCAAGGGCTCCCATCTGTCTGGTGTACTTTGTGCCTTTCTGTTTTTATTCTGTCCCAGGATTGCTGGCCTGAGATGTCTGCTTGGTCCCACCAAGAAACAGATTGAATTGGGACATATTTTCCCTTCTAAAATAAAGTGGTTTTTTTTTTTTTTTTTTGCACTGGCGTGGTGGTGCCCACCTTTTGTCCCAGCACTTGGGAGGCAGAGGCAGGTGGATCTTTGTGAGTTCAAGCCCAGCCTGGTCTACAGTAGCGAGTTCCAGGCCAGCTGGGGCTTCAGGGAGACCTTTTCTCAAAAAGACAAGAAAATAAAATTTTTTTTTTCGTGTTTATTTATTTGGAGGACAGAGGACAACTTGTGAGAGTCAGTTCTCCTTCCACCATTTGGATCTTGGGGATCAAATTCAGATTGTCTGGGTTCCCCCACAAGGGCCCTATCCAGCCCAGCCATCTCACCAGTCGAGGATTTCCCTTCTCAACTAGAAAGAATGGTCACAGGGGATTTCTGGTATCTGACACAAGATGTTGGTCAAAGGAGTTTGATGGTAGTAAAATCCAGCAAATTCTTAGAGATTAGAACCATTAGGAGCCCAATGTAGTGCCATAGGTCTTTCGTCCTAGCACTCCGAGGCTGAGGCAGGAGAATTAGGTCCAGGTCAGCCTGGACTGAGTGGGATCTCGTCTCAGAAAAGCCTGAGACTAGGGTTGTAGCTCTGGTCGAGCTCTTGTTGTGAACATTCGAGGCCCAGGGTTTGAAGTATAGGTTTAAACAAAGGAACTGCAGATTGTGATTACCTGGGCATGAAGCATATGGCACGCAAAGCCCAGGGCTGCCTGGGAAAATGCTCCTGGGCTTGTTGAATATGCCAGGCTAGAGAACCAGAGTCCCTGAGTGTAGTGGGACTGCCGATGTCCCAGCTGGAAGCCATGTCTCTTACAGACTCTCTCTCTCTCTCTCTCTCTCTCTCTCTCTCTCCCTCTCTCTGCATCCGAGTTTTCCTGAATCCTAAAATTGATGTGACTTGGAGTGGCTGTACTCTGAACCACCTTGCAGAAATTGGGCCACCTCTGGCTGAACTTCACCCTTAAGCCCATCTTCATGCTGGTGAACCCTGCCTGTGCTCTGCAGCCATCCCCTAGGGTGACTGGGACTGGCCTCCTAGGGGTCAGAGTTGCTAGGAAGGTGTCCCAAGTGTGTCACCTGATAGCACACCTTGTGTTTATCAGGCTTCCTTGTTATTTGGGGACATTGTATCTGGCTAGGGCAAGCTTCCAGGAGCCTCACAAGTACAGTGCCTGGAGATTGGTCCTCCTGGACAGAGACCTGCCTTGAACGGCAGATAAGGAAGGTCAGAATTCCTGATCTCAAAGGAAGAAAAGATGTAACAAGGATAACATGGCCAAGGCCCTGCCCTTGACAGTGACTACCTATCATTCAGTTCTGCAAACTATCACCCTTAGGGTCACAAGCACCTCCCCCTAAAATCATCCTGTGTTTGTTTGATTTTACATTTATTTACTTATTTTGTGGGTATATGGGTACACATGAAGTTCAGAGGACAGCCTCCAGGAGTCAGTTATCTTTTTACATCATGTGGGTCCTGTAACAAGCATTGGAGGCAAGCACCTTTCCCTGCTGAGCCAACTAGCTGGCAGTCTGATTTGATGTTTGATAAAAAATCTCACTGTATAGACTATGAGCTGGAAATCTTCCTGCCTCAGCCTCCTGAGTGCTGGAATGACAGGCCTGTACCATCACATCTAGTTTATGTGGTTCTGGGAATCAAATCTAGGACTGGGTAGGTGTCAAGATAGGCATTCTCCCAACTCAACCTCAGCCCCAGCCCCACTGCCTCATCTTTAGCTCATTTCTCTTTTTTTTTAATGCTGGTTTTGGTTAGTTTGTTTCGGTCTTTTTTGAGACAGGGTCTCCTTGTAGCCACAGCTGGCCTGAAACTTGCCATGTAGATCAGCTGACCTTGATCTCAAAGATCTGCCTGTCTCTGTGTCCCGAGTGCTGGGGTTAAAGACATGGGCCACCATGCTTGCCTTTATTATTTTTACTTTATGTGTATGAGTGTGTTGTCTACATGTATGTCACGCACTGCCTGCAGAGGTCAGAAGAGGGTGTCAGATCCCCTGGAACTGGAGTTAAGTACAATTGTTAGTTGCCTTGTGGGTGTTGAGAACCGAACCCAGGTCCTCTGCAAGAGCAGCCAGTGCTCTTAACCACTGAGCCATTTCTCTAGGCTTTTAGCACCAGGATGAGGCAGAGGTTGAGTAAACTGGGAGTGTGGATCCCAGTGCATGCTCAGGGCCATAAACCCACCTGGAGTTCCACCCTAAGATTCTAGAAGGTTTGTCAGTGTTCACTGACACCTCCAGCCCCCAGCTCTTGGGCACCCAGGGACAGTAGCAGCCAGTCTGATGATGTGACGAGGGGATTTAGTGGGAGGTTAGAATGTGTGGACAGTGCTTGGCCATAGAACACATGGCCCAAAAGTGGCAGGGATCATATGGCCCAGGAGCCAAGCAGAAAGGAGGGGGATGGAGAACATGATAGACAGATCTATAGGAGAGGAGGAAGGTGGTGTGGTGTCCCAGCCTGGACTCACTGTGTTAGAAGAGTTAGACAAAGCTGTTAATGTTAGAAGCAGCCAGGGTATCTCCAGCAGATGGGTGACATGGGATGGGACTGTCCAACCCAGTGCCCCTTTCTCCCTCCTCATCCCAAAGCCATCTAGGCAAAACTTTTTTTTTTTTTTTTTTGGTGTTTTGACTTGGGACCTCAATATATAGCCTGGGCTGACCTCAGATGCTTTTTCTATTTTTCTTTTTTTTTTTTTTTGGTGTTTTTGAAGATAGAGTCTGACTATGTAGCCCTGGCTAGCCTGGAACTCTCTATGTAGACCAGGCTGGCCTCGAATTCACAGAGATCCTTTGAAAAGTCTTTGGGTGGTAGGCAGCGAACTCAAGAGATCCGCCTGCCTCTGCCTCCCGAGTGCTGGGATTAAAGGCGTGTGCCACCACACCCGGCAGATGCTTTTTCTTTTTAAATATACCCTTATTTAATTATTTTGTATGTTTGTGTATGGCAGTCAGAGGATAATACCTTGGAGGAGTTGGTTTTCACCTTCTACTATATGGGTCTCAGGGATCAAACTCAAATCTTCAAGCCAGGTAGCAATCACCTTTGCCTGCTGAGCCATCTTGCTAGCCCTAGACCTCAAGTGGTCCTCCTGCCTCAGCATTCTGGGTGCCAAGATGTTGGGCATGCAATATCTTGCTGGGTACAGACAACTTTCCAAAGTGGAAGTGGGATTCCTCAGGCAAGGGACAGGGCCATTGGAGGTTTCCTTCTGGCAGCCTCCAGGCCCACCAGAACCTCTCTGTCCTGCTGCAGGTGTACCTGTCACTCATCCCCATCATCAGCGGTGTCCTGCTAGCCACTGTCACTGAACTGTCCTTTGACGTGTGGGGGCTGGTCAGCGCCCTGGCAGCCACACTGTGCTTCTCCCTTCAGAATATCTTCTCTAAAAAGGTGCGTGAGCTGCTCTTGGGCAAGGGGCCTGCTACCCACTGGAGGTGCAGGAAAAGGGACCTGCCCATGGGTTGGGAGTGGCCTGCTGCCAACAGGTTTCAAGAACTGGCCGGTTGGGGATTCCTTTGGTGTTAGAGTGAAAACACTTTGTGTCCCTCTTTCTGCCAAGAGTCAAAATTAACTAAGCTACTAATCTTTCTTGTTTCCTTTTTTTTTTTCCTTTTTTCATATTTTCCCATTTATTTACTTAGTATCCGTTTATGGTCCCCTGTCCTGGTTCACATGTGGAGATCAGAGGACAACTTGGAGTCAGTTTTCTCCTACCACGTGGGTCCTGGGAATTGAGCTCAGTTCATCAGATTTGGTGGCAAGTGCCTTTACCCGATGAGCCATCTGTCTGACCCCTCCACTTTGCTTTTTGAGACAGAATCTCTCTCTGAACCTGGACCCCCCCACCCCCATTTCAGCCAGGCTGGCCTGGGGGCCCCTGCATCTGCCCATGTCTCCGCCCCTCCAAGTGCTTGGATCACAAACACATGCCACTTTGCCAACTTTGATATGGGTGCCAGGGTTCTAAACTCAGGTCCTCATGCTTACCTGGCACATGTGTTCCCTGCTGTACCATCTTCCCAGCCCCTCATTACCTTCTCCCCTTCCCAGGGGCTTATGCACACTAGGTGGGCACTCCACCCTAAACCATGCCCATCACCTCGCAGTGCTGCAGGCTGTTCCCATGGAGTTAGGCATCATGGCTGCAGTTGTGTTTGGCCATGTTCATTTGCTGTTGGAGAAGTGTTCCCTCTAAAAAGCCCTGCTCCTCAATGATTTGCAGGCCCCTCAGGCCCCTCTATCCACTCTCAGTTCCACTGTTGCAAATGAGAATTGTTTCCTGCTTGTCCTGAATCACACAGTGGTGGCCTCTGTGTGTTGGTGTTGTTGACTACTTCTAACGCAGAAGATCCTCCTGTGCTGGCCTTGAGGGGTCAGTGAGCCTCTGCATGTTCCCAATCACTTGAGTCCTTCCCCCGTGGTAGAGCCCCTCTGCTCTAGTCCTGAGGTTCATGGGTTGGCGAGGTTCTGTGTCTGGCTTTGGCTTTGCACTATCTGGTGGTACTCAGAAATGGTAAACCAATCCAGGCTCAACATAGAGAGATTTCAGCCCAGTGTGGTGGTACCCACATGTCATCCCAGCACCTGTGGAAGACTGAGGCACGAGAACTGCCATGAGTGCCAGGCCAACCTGGGCTACAGAGCAAGTAGGACCCTGTTTCAAAAACAAAAGACATGGTTGGGTTGGTAGCCCAAGCCTTTAATCCCAGCAGAGATAGGCAGATCTCTGTGAGTTGAAGGCCAGCCTGGTCTACAAAGTTGTTCCAGGCCAGCTGGGGCTACTGGGAGACCCTGTCTCAAAAAGACCAAAAAAGCTGGGCATGGTGGCGCATGCCTTTAATCCCAGCACTCAGGAGGCAGAGGCAGGTGGATCTCTGTGAGTTCAAGGCCACCCTGGTCTACACAGCTGTTCCAGGCCAGCTGGGGCTACTGGGAGACCCTGTCTCAAAAAGACCAAAAAAGCTGGGCATGGTGGCGCATGCCTTTAGTGGTGACGCACACCTTTAATCCCAGAACTCGGGAGGCAGAGGCAGGCGGATCACTGTGAGTTCAAGGCCAGCCTGGTCTACATAGTGAGTTCCAGACCAGCTGGGGCTACTGGGAGACCCTGTCTCAAAAAAGACCCCACACACACAAAAAAAGAAAAGAGCAAAATAAATTAAAAAACAAAGACACACAAAAAATGAGTAGGGCTTCCAGTGCCCATTTCAGGGCACCCTCACCAACACTGCCTTTTGTTGTTTTGTTTGTTTTTCCTTCATCAGCCCCTTACCACAGAACACAGTGCTTCTTCCAGGCACCGGCTGTGTGTCCCTGCGCTAGTGTACCTACAGGCTGGTGTTCCAGATCAGATGTCCCTGCGTTTGGGGCCCTCTTTGCTGGCCAGGTTGCAGTGGCGCTAACAAGGCACTCTCCCCCAGGTGCTGAGGGACTGGAGGATCCACCACCTACGGCTGCTCAATATCCTGGGCTGCCACGCCGTGTTCTTCATGATCCCCACATGGGTTCTGGTGGACCTGTCCACTTTCCTGGTCAGCAGCGACCTGGTGAGTTGGGGCTGCTGAGAGCTCAGCATGTCTTGACTAGCTTTCTAAGCCAGTGCTTCCTCAAGGAGCACAGCTACATGTTTATTTTGGGGCATTCTGTGTGCATCTGTGTTAGTTTGTTTTCTATTCCTGTAACAAAGAACCAGGCTAATTTATAAATAAAAGAGAAATCTTTACCTCTCAGTTCTGAAGATTAGAGGTCCAGCATGAGGTAGGTTCTGGTGAAGGCTCCAACCACATCCCATCATGCCACATGGCAGTGACAGGAGTACTCATAGAAGGGAAAAGTCATACCTCAAAACAAGAGCCCAAAGCCAGCATTCTCACAGACCTGCGTTGGTCAGCTTTCCAGTACTTTGACAAAATACCTGATATTATTGGCAGAGGAAGAAACTCACAGTTTCCATCTGTTTATGCTTCACCCTGATGCTTTAGACTTGTTGTGGGAACACTGATCAGGGCACCACTCTGAGGACTGGCACTGCAACCATCCAGGAAGTGAGTGCCTCTGTTTCTTCCCCAGCCAGTGCCTTTACCTGGGCCACTGATCTCCCATGTGATCTTGGCTGGCCACAGCTGGTTCACAAGTCACTTAAGTGCATGTGCTGGATGGAAGTCCTAGGGGGCCTGTGTGTAGAGATACCAGTGGGTCAGCCTTGGGTGTCATTCCTCATATGCTGCCCCTATTTTTTTTTTTTTCTCAGAGCTGAGGACTAGCTAGGCAAGTGCTCTACCACTGAGCTGAATCCCTAACCCCAGCTGCCCCTATTAAGATGGCCTTTCCCTGGCCTCAGTGACTGAGCAAGGCTGCTGGCCAGCGCTCTCTAAGGACCCTCATATCTCTACACCCAGCACTGAGATACCACATGGGAGCTGGAGATTAGACTCAGGTCCCCATGTTTGTGTGCCAGCACTTTACCCCTGAACTATGCCCCCAGGCCCTCTGACTTTCTGTTTAATTGGAGTATTGCTGTTACTCAGGGCTGGTCTCAAACTCCTGGACTCTGGTGACCCTCTGGCCTCAGCCTCCCATGTAACTAGGTCCACAGGCATGCCCTGGTGTCCAACTAAAGAGGCCCTTTAGATGCACAGTTAAGGACTGATCCATTCCTCGTAACCAGGATTGAAGAGTTTGGGGGCCAGCCTGGGCTACATGAAACCTGCCTTAAAACAGTCCAGCACTCAGAAGGCAGAGGCAGGTGAATCTCAAGGCCAACTTGGTCTACATAGTGAATTCAGAGCCAGCTGGGACTACAGGGAGACCCTGCCTCAAAAAGACCAAAAAAAACAGTGGCTGGAGAGATGGATGTCTCAGCAGTTAAGAACACTGGCCGCTCTTGCAGAGGACCCAGGTTTTATTCTCAGCACCCACCCATGCCAGCTAACAACCATCCATAACTCCAGTTCCAGGGGTTCCAATGCTGTCTCCTGACCTCGTTGGGTATTATACAACACCGATATACCTACCTACAGTCAAACAATACATTCATACACATAAGAATTTTCTATTTTTTTTTCTGTCTTTTTGAGACAGGGTCTCTCTGTAGCCCCAGCTGTCCTGGAACTCACTATGTAGACCAGGCTGGCCTCAAACTCACAGAGATCCGCCAGCCTCTGCCTCCCAAGTGCTGGGACTACAGGCGTGCACCACCATGCCTGGCAATTATTTGCTTTTTAAAAAAGCAAAAAACAAAGTAACTGTGAGGCAGGCAAGCCTTTTGTTAGAAGCTGCTGGCCCCACATGTGTCATGATGTACAACTGACTGGTGTCTGCACAGTGATATCATCCAGCCCAGCCCTCTGGGGCTGAAAGGGCGCCCTAGGAAATGAGAAAGTGCCCAGGAACTAGGAGGACTTGGTAAATCCTGGGAATCAGCTGGTTGAGGCTCACACTTGCCATCCCAGCACTCAGGGAGGCAAGAGGATAAGGAGTCCCAGGCCAGCTTCAGCTACATGGTGAGCTGAGACCAGCCTGGGCTGCAGGAGACTGTCTCAACAAAGCAAAAGGAGAAAGAATCACTGGGAAGCAGCCATCACCTCCCCTGGAGGAGAGTGCATGTAGAACTGAGCCAGAGCCTCAGTGCCACCAGACCACCTCCAGGGAACCTCCATTCCTCTCTCCAAACTTTGGGAGAGGCTTTGGCCACAGTCCCCATGGGAACGAACCAAAGGCCGCTGAAGCTTGAAGCTGGGTCCACCAGGATCAGTGCTTGCAGGAACATCAGCGTCTGCACAGGGTTTAGAAACATCCAGAACACATCCTGACTCAGCAAGGAGGCCTGCTACCAGGAGTTCAAGATCATCCTCAGCTACATAATGAGTTCAAGGTGAGCCTGAGTTATGTGAGATGCTGTCCCAAAAGAAAAAAGAAAGGGAGCCGGGCGTGGTGGTGCACACCTTTAATCCCGGCAGAGGCAGGTGGATCTCTTGAGTTCAAGGCCAGCCTGGTCTACATAGTGAGTTCCAGGACAGCTGGGGCTACAGGGTGACCTTGTCTCAAAAAGACCAAAAAAGAAAAAAAGGGGCTGGAGAGATGACTCAGCAGTTAATAGCACAGGCTGCTCTTGCAGAGGACCTGGGTTTGGTTCCCAGCACCCACATAGTGGCTAACAAACTCTAGTTCCAAGGTATTTGATATCCTCTACTGACCTTGGGCATTGCGTGATACAGATGCACTTACATATATGCAAATGAACCACATAAAAATAAAGAAACCAAAAAGAAAAGAGAAATGAGATGGAAAGTTTGCAGTGAAAACAAAGACTCACAGGATGAGTCGAAGCAGGAGGTAACACTGGAAGGGGTCAGTAACGTGAAGATTGGTCAGTAGAGATGGCCTCGTGCCAGGTACGGGAACGCAGGCTGTGATCCCAGCACTCAAGAAGCTAATGATGCAGGAAGATTGTGAATCTGAGAGCAGCCTGAGCTACACAGTGAGACCCTGTTTGAGTAAAACTACCAAAGGCTTATGTGTGGATGTTTATAACAACTCTTCATTATTGCTTAAAACTAGAAATAGCCGTCAACAGGCGAAGGAAGAAAAGTTGATGTGTCCATACAATGCAGTGGTCACCCAACAATGAAATACTAGCTCTTGTCTCTCACAACTCAGACCAGAGACAATGGTGTCCTGAGTGGAAGTCAGGCTGCAAGCTGTGTGATTCTGTTTATTGTGCAGCTGTCTCTTAAGGACAAACCATCTTGGCAATTTAAAGAGCCTGATGAGTATGAGGACAGAAAGGAGCTATTCAGGATCCCGGGTGTGCTGGTTCTGTGACTTGAGGCCATTGTGGAAACCTGGAAAGGAAGCTGTCACCATCCTGTGAGTCTTAACAGCTGGAATGGCCGAACTTGTTCTTGGAGCACAGTTGTGTGTAGAAGCCAGAAGGAAACTGCACAAATCTCACCCTCCAGGGTGGAACTCTGGGAAAGCAGGCCAGCTGGTGCCAGCGCTTGAGGGCACAAGGTGTGGGTGGAAAGTCTACCTTTTCAGCTCTTCCTGAAGAAGCATTTAGGATGCTGTCACAGGAACAGGAAACACATCCATCTTCCTTTATTTCCCTTTGTTGTGCATGTGCACGGTGTGTTCTGCACACAGGTAGAGAAGAGCCTGGGGTCTACCTCGGTAATTCTTCCTGTTTTGAGGGAGGGTCTCACTGAACCTGATGTTCATTGGCTGTACTAGTCGACCAACAAACTCTGGAGATGTGCCTGTTTCTGCCACTCTAGTACTGGGGCTGTGGGTATGTGTGGCCAGAGCCAGTTTTTCTCACACATGTGGCAGGGATCTGACTTCACCCCATCTTGTTTTTTGAGGCAGGATCTATAGGTTGTGTATCCTAGGCTAATTACAAATTCCCGATCCTTCTGCCTCCACCTCTGGAGCTCTGGGATTGTAGGCGAGCATACTGTACCCAGCTGGGAGGCTGCAATCTGCTTTGGGATTGTAGGCTGCTTTCTGCAGCATCCTCCCCTCAGGACTGTGTGGGCTTCATTCCCCTCTCCTCTCAGGACTTCCTGGGCCTCCCTCTCAGGGGACTTCATGCCATTCCTCCCTCTGGAGGTTATGGAAATGGATCTGGCCACCACTACAGCATCGTCATACTGTGACCACTAACTGCCATGGCTGAGAGGAGCCAGCTGGGGCCTGTGGCTGTCTCAAGGTGGCTGGGAACCAGTCCTCAAATCAAAGCAGGAGGGCAGTGTAAAGGATGATTTGGAAAGAGCTGGGTGCCCTGTGCCTTCTGCATCCTGACCTAGTAAGCCATTGTGCTTCCACCTAACGGGTACCAGCAGGCTCTGGGGCTTTGCATCCCACTCTCTGGAGCACCTCCCCTGGGATTGTTTTGGTTTCAGGGGGACATTTTTGGTGCTGGAACCCACCACCTCACATTCGCTCTGCACTGTGCCACATCCATGGCCCCAACATGAGGTTGCTGAGGAGATGGCTCAGCTGATAAATGTGAGGACTTGAATTTAGATCCTAGCACCCAGGGAAAGCTAGGCCTGCCGGTGGTGCCTGCTTCCCCATGCTCAGAAGGCAGATGAGTCAAGTGAGCAAGCTGCCAGTGAGACCAGGCAGCAGGGATATCAGGGTCAGCCAGACTCGTCTTCATACAGAAGTGGAAAATGTTGGAGATCAGTCCCAGTGTCAGCCTCCGGCCATCTCACACACCAGCGGTGTATACACACAGGTATACGCACGCACGCCACACACAAATAGCCAAAAAGGAAAGGTGTTGATTATTTTATTTATTTATTTTTTTTATGGTTTTTGAGACCTGATCTCAATGTCCAGGCTGGCCCTGTTCAGGGTCAACTTTCTAGTAGCTTCCACCTATGAAGTACATGAGTGCAATATCCAGGTCCAAACTCTGCTACCCCAAATCCGGCTGCTATCTGCTCCCACCTATCTCTGTACCCTTGGGGCACTTGGTCTGGGCTCTCTGAGTACCAGCATCCTGACCTGAGATGGCACATGATCACAGTGCTGTGTCTAGAGGGCCAAGGGTCATGTCTATAAAGCAGCTTGTGGGCCAGTGAGATGGTTCAGCAGGTAAAGGTACTTGCTGCCAAGCCTGAAGACCTAAGTTCAAACCTCAGGATCCACACAGTGGAAGGAGAGGACCAATTCCTTCAGTTTGTCTTCTGACCTGCACATGTGTGCTATGGCACATGCCCGTACACCCACACAATAAGTAAATATGTAAAAAAAACCTTTAGTGGCCTGCTATTCCAGGGCCTATGTATCCTCTCCTCACCCCTTTCCCATTGATGCTGTTGACGCCCTACTCATCCCTGCAGGCCTATGTATCCCAGTGGCCCTGGACGCTACTGCTGCTGACTGTCAGCGGCTTCTGCAACTTCGCACAGAATGTCATCGCCTTCAGTATCCTTAACCTCATCAGCCCACTTAGCTACTCAGTTGCCAACGCCACCAAGAGGATCATGGTCATTACTGTCTCCCTCATCATGCTGCGCAACCCAGTCACCAGCACCAATGTGCTGGGCATGATGACGGCTATCCTAGGAGTCTTCCTGTACAACAAGGTATGTGGTGGACATGTGAGTCAGGCAAGGATGACCTGAGGTAGGAAGGGTGGTCTTAGCTCCCAGTGTCAGAGTACAATCCCAGGTCAGTGGCCCTGAGTGCTGGACAGAACAGTGTGGTATGTGGCAGGGAGTTTTCTTTGAAACATGGTCTCTCTTTCCCCTAAGCTGACCTAGAACTGAGTATCCTCCTGCCTCGGCCTCCTGAATTCTGGTATCACAGGTGTGTGCCACTACATGGGACTTTGTTTTAAGATAGTCTCATAGCCCAGGCTGGCCTTGAACTCCTGATCCTCCTGCCTCCACCTTCCAAGTGCTAGGATGGCAAGTGTGTGCGGAGGGGTGGGGGAGCCCAGGGGCTCGTGCATGCTAGGTCAGCACTACCAACCAAGCCACACACCCAGACCTGGGTTTGGGGGTGAAGGTCTTTTGGGTTTTCTTTTTTGGAATGGGTCAGGGTCTCATGTAGTCCAGGTTGGCCTCAAACTCTAATTATATATTTCATCCTGCCCTGGAAGTCTTGCCCTTCCCTCTGCTTCCATAGTGCTGGGATGGCAGGTACAACCCCTGTGTTCACCTGGGCCTCCTGTTGCTCTCTCTATGCAGACCAAGTACGATGCAAACCAGCAGGCCCGTCGGCACCTCCTCCCTGTCTCCACAGCAGACCTGAGTGGCAGGAGCCCACTGGAGAAGCCACACAATGGCGCACTGTTCCCCCAGCACAGCGACTTTCAGTATGGCCGCAGCGTGCTGCTCACAGACCACTTCCAGTATGGCCGCCAGGGCCATGGGAACTCCTACACCCTCAACCGCCATGACGTGTAGACTTGGCCCTCCATGGGCTGTAAAGCTTGACCACAGGGTGGGCAGCCACAGGCTCTGGGCAAAAGGAGCAAAGTGAGACCCCGCTTTGCAGGAGCAGAGGCTGACGTGGCACCGCAGGTGACTTTAGGACTCTGCAGAAGTGCCCTCACTGTGGCCACAGCCGGGGAAGCCAGCAGCAGGAAGGCGGGGCCATGGTTTGGACATTCAAGGACTGACACGATGCCATGGGGCACGGGGCAAGGAGCCTGAGATAGCAACTCAAGATACAGCTGCAGCAGAGGTGGCCCCGGGGCCCTCTGCCATCAGTGGCAGCTTGGCATTGGACTGGCCTGTTCTGCACTCTGTACAGGATTCCACACAGACCTAGCGGGCTTGCCAGTACAGAGGAAGGGACTGGCCATGTCCCTGGCCCAGGTGGCACTTGACCAAAGGGGTTGGTGGCCAGCAGAGTCACTTATGTCGTCACTTCTAAGTGTGAACCCTGAAGTGGGAGGCCTCTACTCTCTCACTCTTCTTCACAGGAGATCTCTAGGCCCCTGTGAGCTCTCACACCTGCATCCCTGTCACACAACCTGGCAGACTGACTGATGGATCAGAAACCATCTCTGAGCATCTTGAAACATGGGAGTCCTGCTGCGGCTTGTCCCTCAGCTTGGCGACAGCAGGGTTGGCCATGGTGCCAAGAGGTAGAATCCAGTCTTTGAACAGTGTTTTGTGTTGGTGACAGGACAAAATGTGTATGTCAGGATCTGAACTGTATCTTAGGAAAGGGGACAAGGAGGGGTGAAGAGCTGGATCTTGGTGTCTTTAGTCAAGAGTCAGCTTAGGGGCTGGGGCTGGGGTTCAGTTGATGGAGTATTCGCCTAGCATGCACAAAGTCCTGGTCCCCATCCCTAGCACCGCCTAAAACTGGATGTGGTGGGGCATGCCTGTCATCCTCAGCCACACAGTGAGTTCAAGGCTAGCCTGGGCTATAAGAAACCCTATCTCAAAAAAATAAACATCAGTTTAGGGACATAGCACACACTCAGAAGTGGAGGCAGGAGGATGGCCATGTTTTTTAGTCCAACCTGAGCTACATAGTGAGACTTTCAAAAACAAAAAGTGTCTGGACCCACACCTGTGATTCCAGCTACTTAGGAAGCTGAGGCGAGAGGATCTCTTGAGCCTATGACTTTGAGCCCAGCCTGGAGATGTAACACAGGGAGACCCTATCATAAACATGAAAGAAATTCAGTGCCCATGCATGCAAAGCAGGCATGTGACAGTACCCCAGGATAGTGCTCTCACAAGAGGAACCCCAAACTTAGCTTGTGAAGACGGGGTTTGTCTGTTTTGTCTTGAGACAGGGTCTCACTATATAAATCAGGCTGACCTTAAACTCCTAGCAGACCCAGAGATCTTCCTGTTACTTCTTCCTCAGTACTGGGATCAAAGACTACCACCATGCCAGACTGGCATTATCCCTTTTGTTTTTTTGAGACCTCTCAGTCAGTAACCCAGGCTGGCCTTTGGCTTGTGGCAGTCTTCCTGCCTCCATCTCCCCAGGCTGTAGTGACAGGTGTGTGTCACCCCACCCCAGCCTTGACTCCTGGTTTTGTTGGGGTCTGCTTTTGATGAATTGAAGACTGATGTTTAAAGTTTTGATTTATTATCTTAGTTTCCTGCTTGCCTGAATTTCAGCAACTCTGGCCTCAGACAGTCCCATCTGTGTCTCAGGTTTGCTTGTTTATAGATGTGGGGAATAGGAAGCAGTGTCCTGCTGGGCACTTCTGTGGGGGCCAAGGGTCAGCTCTGGGTGCTCACAACTTGAGTAGCCACACTGCAGATGCACTGATGGGAGATCTAGATGATGTGGCTGTGGGCCTCTCACTGAACTCTACAATGAATTATGCCTTTGAGGTTCCCATGATGATGCTGTAATTTGTATATTAGTGTTTTTCCTTTTCCAGTGCAGTGTCTGCCAGGAAGGGGAAAGGCCCATCTTGCTTTTCTTACAGTTTATAAATTAATAAATGGAGCCAGATATGGTGACCAGGCACATGGGGTCCATTTAATCCCAGGACTCAGAAAGCAGAGGCAGGTAGATCTCTCTGAGAGCAAGTGTGAATGCTGGAAGGGTTAGACAATCTCAGTAGACCAGATTCTCAGATCACAAAGCAAAAACAGGACTCTTGCTTGGAGCTCAGTTGATAGAGTGCTTGTCTGGCATGCACGAAGCCCTGGGTTCTATCCCTAGTACCCCATAAACTGTGTGAGGTGGTGCATAACTGTTATCCCAGTGCTCTGGAGACCAAGACAGGAGGATCAGGAGTTTTAAGAGTCATGCATAGCTACATAGTGAATTTGAGGCAGCCTGGGCTACATGAGACCCTGTCTCAAAAATGAACAAAACAAAACAGACTTAGAGGACCTAGTGGTTCAGTTAACCTTGGCCTGTTCTAGGTGCGTGTGGGTCCTGTAGCTCTCTTCAGCTCTGGCTCCGTCGTGTGCTTCTGCTGGGTACCTGTTTAGAGGGTATCGGTTGCTCTATACAATGAAGTGGCCTGGCCAAAACACGGCCTCTGACACAACTTAATTTTGCAGAGGTAGAAACTGAGGCCCAAGAGCAATGTCTGTTCACTCTTAGAACACGTGGAGTGGGACTTTTGAATTTTTCATTTGAAACAGGATCTGGTTAACAGCCCAGGCTAGCCTCAGAATTGAGGCCCTCCTGCCTCAGCCTCCTGAGTGCTGAGATGACAAGTACAGGGAGTCACACCCAGCTTCAGCCGGGATGATGCACCTTATTTTAAACCATTTCTTAGAGAGGGAAAACTTCCTGGACAAAGGAGATAGCCATGTGTGTGGAGGAGTGCTTCAGTCTTCCGTTCCCCTATGTTGGAGGGATATGGGGCAGCTCATCACGATCAAACCCCAAACCCAGAATAGTTAGGATCCAAAAGTGTTGAATCACACACGGAGCTAAAAACTGTTAGCATTCTTTCTCTCCCACTGTCATCTGGTTCTGAGGACTCAGTGCCATAGACTGTTTGTGGGAATAACTATGTTCATGGTCAGCAATCACCAAAAATAAACCATGGCCTCCAGAAACTTGAGATCGGTTCCAGTTTGTCACGGACCATCTCTGAGCAGCTCCAACAACAAAGGAGTCAGAGGTTGAAAGGCTGGAGCTGGGGAGACAGTTCCCAGGGTATGTGGCTTGTAGGGCAGGTGTGGCAGCCATCCTGGTTGCAGTGTGCAAGAGGCAGAGAGGGGTCTGGAGCAAACCAGCCAGTGAGAGACCTGCCTCTTGAAATGGGGAATGCAGGCAAGATGGCTCACTTGGTAAAGGTGCTTGCTGTCAAGCCTGATGACCTGAGTTTAATTCCCAGAACCCACATGGTAGAAGGAGAGCACTGACTCCTGCAAATTGCCCTCTGATCTCCCCACAAGTGCTGTGTCACACATGCATGTGCTGTCACACACATGAAGCAGTTTGTAGACCTTGGCAATATTTGCAGGGTTTGATGAAGGCACTTTGTTCATTTGAGTCAGGGTCTTGCTATGTAGACCTGACTGGCATGGTACTGGATGACCCAGGCTGGCCTCAAACTCACAAAACCCCTCAGCTTTCCAAGTGATGGCATGACAGATATATGCCACCATGTCTGACTGAAGATCTTTGGAATAGAAACAAAACCACATGTGGTAGTACACACCCATCATCCCGACACTTGGCAGGTTAAGGAATGGTCTGAAATTTCCTGTCACTGTGATAAAGTACCTGACAGAAGCAGCTTAAGTGGGAAAGGGTTTATTGTGGCCCATGGTGGAGGGTCAGTCCATTACAGAAGGGAAGTCACAGTGGCAGGTGAGAAGTCACTGACAGGCTGGAGAGGTAGTTGGTTACATTACATCCACACCAGAAGCAGAGACATGAATACTGGTCTTTGGCTGGCTTTCTCATATGTATTCAGTCCAGGCCCCACCCCAGGGAATGGTGCTGCCCACAGTGGGCAAATCTGCTTCATTTAATCCAATCAAGATAATCCGGGGGCTGGAGAGATGGGTGGCTCAGTAGTCAAGAGCACTGGCTGCTCTTGCAGAGGACCCAGGTTCAGCTCCCAGCACCCACATGGTGGCTAACAACCATCTGTAACTCCAGTTCCAGGGGATCCAATGCCCTCTTCTGACCTCCTCAGGCACTGCATGACATGTTTGCACCTACCTTCATGCAGGCAATACATTTCATACACATTTTAACAAGAAAAAAATAAAATAGAATTTTAAAATATTCCCAGAAGTGGCCCAGATAACCATGTGGTTCCAACAGGGAAATAAGGTGGGGTCTGGTTAGTTACTGCTCCATTGGACTTCATGCTGATGACTTCCTGTGGATGTGGATGTGGATGTTACATGCAACCACAAATGTGGAGGCCATATTCAGTGTCTTGCTCTGTGGTTTTCCACTGTATTCACCTGAGGCAGCATCTCTCAAAGAGCCTGGAGTTAAGCTGGTGGCCAGTGAGCCCCAGCCCACCCTCCTGTCCCTGCCTCCCACAGTGCTGGGGTCACAGACCCATACATGACATTCTGATATGAGGGTATGGCAGATTTGAACTCAGGTCCTCATGCTTGTAGAGTGCCTACTCTTACTCACCCAGCCATCTCCACAGCCCGTTTATATTATGTAGGGGTGGGCACTTTCATGTCATAGCTCACAGGTAGAGGTCAGAGGATAACTCGTGGGAGTCACTTCTCTCCTTCCTCCACATAGGTCCCAGGGAACAAACTCAGGTCATCAGGTTTGGCAGCAAGCACCTTTACCCAGTGAACCATCTCACCAGCCCCTCTTTTTGTTGAGACAGAACTCACTATGTAGTTGAGGATGATCTTGAACGCCTCTTCCTACCTCTACTTTCTGAGTGCTGGGATGACAAGGCACATGCCACCACTTCAGTTAGCTCCACCTTGTGGTTTTAGGTCAGTCATATGGCTGTCATGTTTTTTTCTTTGCTGGGGATGGACTCCAGAGAGTCAGGATGCTAGGCAAGCACTGTATACTGGGTCACAACCCCAACCTTGTGGTCATGGGCTTTATAGATTTCTGTATTTGAGAGTAGTTATTCCATGAGCTGCAGGGCTAGCTGTGGTGATGGGAGACAGGGAGGATGAGGATGTTAAGGATGTTTTGCCTCCATCTCAATGAACAGGGGTTTCATTAGGAAGTGTGTGTGTGTATCGATGAGAGGAAGCCAAGGCCCACAGGGATAGTCTGGTTTAAAATCCAAGGGGAAGAAGTTCGAGGGGCAGACCTCCCTTGGCAGGACTTATTCCCAGGAACAATTACTAGGGAGGTGTTAAGGAATGGTGGGTTGGTCTGAGAAAGAAATATTGGGGGGGGGGCATTCAAGAGATACCTTTAATTCCAGCAGAGGAAGGTGGCCTTTATGAGTTCCAAGCCAATTTGGTTTACGTAGAAAGTTCTGCTCTACCCAGGACTATGTAGTGAGACTCTGTCTCAAAAAAAAATATGGAGCAAGTTGAGGTGGCTTAGTAGGTAATGGCACTTGCCATCAAGTTTGATGACTGAGTTTGATCCCTGGAACCCACGTGGTAGAAGGAAAAAACTCACTCCTTCAAGTTGTCCTCTGACCTCCACAGGTGTGTCAGGGCATCCACATAACACCCCTCCTCCCCAAATAAATAAAATGTAATAAACTTTTTAAAAATCTGCATGTATGGCCAGGCATGGTGGTGCACGCCTTTAATCCCAGCACTTGGGAGGCAGATGCAGGTGGATCTCTATGAGTTCAAGGCCAGCCTGGTCTACATAGTGAGTTCCAGGCCAGCTGAGGCTACAGGGAGACCCTGTCTCAAAAC